GAGTCGTTCGAAATTCACACTACCAATTAGCAGCTAGCCTCAATTCAATTTGAAACGATTTTGTTGTGCGGGATAATTCGCCACTCAAAAATAATTAGCGTTATACGCTCTCAGCATTCTGAATAAACTCTTTAAAGCGCGGAAAATTTGGTCTAGAACACGAAAAACTAGCAATTTTCAAACCCCCAGAGCTTTACAGAAAATTATCGGAGATGCAGGGGCGGATTTGGGGGAGGTGGCGGACGCCCTCCCTCCCCCCCCCCCCCCCAAGGATTCGCCCCCCTCCCCAAGCAAATTTTAAAAAGAACTCAACCAAGCTTAACATTTGCAATCAAGAGGAGTATGATTTGCAAAAACGATGAAGAAAAGAGGATTTTCAAAAAAGATTCGCGAACGTGTCCAGAGTTGAGTCCTGTGGACAAAGTTGTTTACGGGAAAAAAGTAAGTATATTATCGGATTGCAAAAAACGAAAAAATGAAAAAAAAAACTCGAAACCAGACATGGTAAATTAACAAAGTTGTGAAGTTTCAGTTATAGTAAAACTTGTTTAAATTGGAACAAAACCCATGCTTTAAAAGTAAACCATTAGAAACCCTACCAGATAAAAAGGCGTTTCGAAAAACGGAACATTAACTCACAAAAAAACTAGGACAAGCCCACGAACCCGAAAAAATTGCGAATTAATTTTTTTCGAAAAGATAATTAGAACCTGAAACGGGCTTGACTTAAATACTACTTAAGTAACTACTTCGTTTTTATTTAGTACTTTAAGTTAAATTTTCAAGAAATTCAGCATGTCAGAAGAGATCCTCTGGAAGTGGAGACCCTGTGCCTTAAGTTAATTACGTGAAAAAAAGTCTAGTACCCGATTGCAATACTCTTGCTTATCGCAAGGATAATCAAGTTTAGTCTGAAAAGCTTAGCGTTGAAAGAATTTTTTCTTCAAGCCAGCAAAAAATGTTTACGGAATTTTCCTAGGCGTTCCGAATTGCTAAAAGGGCTTCAATGTGCTATGCAACTCAAACTCGCACGACGTGTTTTAGTGTTTCTTGGATTGGTGTAGAACAATTTTTCCCGAGCCAGAAGTTGTTTCACACTTTCCGTGATCGATCACAAACAGACACAGACTGCTGTTCAAGAAGCAAAGTAGTTTCCTAGCTCCGTACCAATGCATATTTTGATCAAACTTTGAATTGATAAACAAACAAAAATTGTTCCTATTTGTCCTCTTTTTTTGGAGGTCGGCCGGTCTGGAATAAGCGTGAAACTGACTTTATTAGATTTCATCCACAATTCGTCCACGCTTTCGGTGTAAGTAAAAAAAATTAAAAAAAAGAAATTAGAAAAATACATTTCCAAATTTTTCATGGCATATTCAGAAAAGCTTCATTTATTCAAACAAGACTGCTCGTATATACGGGCAAAGCCCGGAATGTTCTGTCTGTCCCTTAATTCAAATCGAATAGTTTTTGTGGGAAAAAAATATTGAAAAGCTATACATTTTGGACAATATCTAATTGTTAAACTTTGAGTCGTTCGAAATTCACACTACCAATTAGCAGCTAGCCTCAATTCAATTTGAAACGATTTTGTTGTGCGGGATAATTCGCCACTCACAAATAATTAGCGTTATACGCTCTCAGCATTCTGAATAAACTCTTTAAAGCGCGGAAAATTTGGTCTAGAACACGAAAAACTAGCAATTTTCAAACCCCCAGAGCTTTACAGAAAATTATCGGAGATGCAGGGGCGGATTTGGGGGAGGTGGCGGACGTCTTCCCTCCCCCCCCCCAAGGATTCGCTCCCCTCCCCAAGCAAATTTTGAAAAGAACTCAACCAAGCTTAACATTTGCAAACAAGAGGAGTATGATTTGCAAAAACGATGAAGAAAAGAGGATTTTCAAAAAAGATTCGCGAACGTGTCCAGAGTTGAGTCCTGTGGACAAAGTTGTTTACGGGAAAAAAGTAAGTATATTATCGGATTGCAAAAAACGAAAAAATGAAAAAAAAACTCGAAACCAGACATGGTAAATTAACAAAGTTGTGAAGTTTCAGTTATAGTAAAACTTGTTTAAATTGGAACAAAACCCATGCTTTAAAAGTAAACCATTAGAAACCCTACCAGATAAAAAGGCGTTTCGAAAAACGGAACATTAACTCACAAAAAAACGAGGACAAGCCCACGAACCCGAAAAAATTGCGAATTAATTTTTTTCGAAAAGATAATTAGAACCTGAAACGGGCTTGACTTAAATACTACTTAAGTAACTACTTCGTTTTTATTTAGTACTTTAAGTTAAATTTTCAAGAAATTCAGCATGTCAGAAGAGATCCTCTGGAAGTGGAGACCCTGTGCCTTAAGTTAATTACGTGAAAAAAAGTCTAGTACCCGATTGCAATACTCTTGCTTATCGCAAGGATAATCAAGTTTAGTCTGAAAAGCTTAGCGTTGAAAGAATTTTTTCTTAAAGCCAGCAAAAAATGTTTACGGAATTTTCCTAGGCGTTCCGAATTGCTAAAAGGGCTTCAATGTGCTATGCAACTCAAACTCGCACGACGTGTTTTAGTGTTTCTTGGATTGGTGTAGAACAATTTTTCCCGAGCCAGAAGTTGTTTCACAAACAGACACAGACTGCTGTTCAAGAAGCAAAGTAGTTTCCTCAATGGGGAATAAAAAATTTTTGTTGAAAATTATTATTTCGATCGGTGAAAATTGACTGAATCAAAAAAACCACACCGAGCATAAATATTCCGTTTTCTTCGAAAGTCGGAACAAAAAAGTCTTTTTCGAATGTAGTTTTAAATAACAACTGAGCAGACAGAACAAAGCTCTCATCTATTTGACCGCTATGTAATTACTTTTTTTTGAGGAAAAATAATTAGAAATAGGATCTTGGAAACTATTTTCCCCTACTATACCTAGTAAAGAAATTCCATCCCTATGAGAGGTCTTTGCAAGAATCTTTGCGATAGGGGAGGAAATATTAAACAAGACCCGAAACCGCATCGAAATGAATCGTATATCTTTAGTATCCTCAAGCCCTTTTTGTTTTCTTGCAATTACCAGAGCCTGACGTCACCAACTAGCCACATTTGGGCAGTAAACTATTGAGTCCTGCCTTTGCTATCTAGAAACACTAGAAGAGTAATTTTTAATTAATGATTGCGGTGTGCGTTATACCGTAAACAGGAACGATCAAATCTGAGCGTTAACGAACATTAAAATTAAATAGTAAAATCAGTAGCGGATTTAGGGGGTGGGGGCGTGGTGCGGACGCCCTATTCAGGGATTCGACCCCCAGCCGACCCAAAGGGTCCCCCCTTTGTACTATTTTGAGATAACTATTTTTGGTGACGGACCCTAAATCTTTTCTAAAGGCGCCTTTGGCGCCAATATATACCAATTTTGAGAGGGGAGCGCGCGCCAAAAAACGCAATTTTTTGGTCAAAATTTTCCACAAAGTGCCCAAAAACGCCGTCAAATTAGGGTCTTTATAGTATTTGGAAGACCTCAGAAAATCAAAAAATCAATTTGGTCGACCTAAAAAAAAGGTCGACAAAATTCTCAAAATTTTTTTGAAAATCCTCCCCCACCCCCCCCTCAAGAAATTCTTAGATCCGCGCCTGAGTAAAATGCAAAACTTATATGCTGTTTCTTGATATTCTTTTTTGAAATACGCGGAGTTTTATACATATATCCTAGGATAATATGGAGACTTTGAATCATATCGCTGGGACTTAAGTCGGCTAATGTATCCCAGAACTGACATTTGGGCCCTGGTGCAAAATGGTGCAGTGATAATCATGAGCTCATTGTATTTTCCCGCTGGAATGACTAAATCTTCAGTTACAGTACCCAGTCTTCTTGCCACGCAGTGCTCGTCCATTTTTGAGCTCAAATTGCGAAAAACTTCCAGCTCTTCGTAGAAATTAGGAATGGCAGCTATTTTTTTCCATAATGTTCGATTAAACGTATCAAAGAGTAAATAATCGGCTGGAGCGTACTTCATGTATTGATTTTCTAATCTCTCTTCCTCTTGTAAGTTTTGGCTTTCCTTAGGACCAAATACATATTTTCGGGAAACATTTTTGATTTTGATCAAAATGTCTCGCATGTTGAGGCAAAACTGATGACGTAACACTATCATACTCTCGTCGAAGTAGTCTGAGACCATAACTAACGACAATTTATCAGCCAGTTTTTCACAAAGTCGTGTGGCTCATCAATGTCATTTTGGAAGCCGAAGTCAAACGTCATTGTGTTTTTATAGAACGGTCTCTTCAATTTTCTGAAGAAATCCTCTGGATTTTCAAGGTACCTTCGAAACGTTTCGTTAATCGGAATATTCCATTCAGCATTCATTTTCTTGGCGATTGCGAAGTAGTTGAAAAAGGACTTGAAATGATGAAATGGCTGGCGAACAACTGATATCAATTTGTAGTCTGGCTCCATAAACTTATCCCATGTTTCCGGAGCATACATCATGTGAAGTATTTGCATGTCGAACTTTTTATTTTTCTTTCTCGAATGGTAAAAATTGCCGGGAGGGTAAGGCCAGTTTAAATTCCACTGGCCAGTTGGCAATGGCACCTCTAAACTATTCTCTTCAGCAAGACGCATCAAATGTGCTGATATTGTGTCGCTCGCACATTTGTGAGTCTTGACGAAAGCCAGTCTGTAAAAAGGTTCCTCACACTGCGGAAATTTCACTGACCATTTGTGCAGAAGAGGCAAATCGACCACCTCTCTTTCTCTTCCCGCATAATCTGCCGAGGGGTAATCTTCTGTTTTGACGTTTGCGTATATCTCAGAGATTGCCGCTTCTTTAACTGATTCAAAGTTGGTTTTTCTTGGACTAAATTCTGGCTTAATTATTCCCGAGTTGGCATCAGTGAAACTTGTACTGGCGGTCCAAGGAGTTTTGGTGATAAGGTATCCCGCTATACCCAGCAGGCAAATGCCATTCAAAATTTGCAGTACTTTGGCGGAGCTGGCCATTATAAAGCTGAGTTAACGAAAGCAAACGAATGCAGTCAGTTATTAGGATAATTGAGCAGCTGCTGAAAAATTCTTTTGGTCGATTTCAATAAGGTCAGGCCAAGGTCAATTGATGAAACTTTAGTTTCAGAAAGCAGTTCTTTTTCTCAACTACGTGCATCAGCTAAATTATAAGGCAATTTGAGATCAAATTTGTCAGCAGAATATCAAGCGTCAAAATTGAGAAAATAATTAGCACAATATGAGAAGCTGCAAACCAAAAGCCTGTTATCGAATAAACCAGACAAGTAAACTTAGAAAATCAGATAAAAATATACGTGTTTATTTAAATATGAACCCGGAAGGATATATTTGATAAAATACACAGGCTGTCGTAAAATTAAAGAAAGCGTAACCAGCAAGGGAAAAGATTCGTGATGATATGGAAAATTTATTAAGAGGCCTACTTGACAGAAAAATTTTAATAAACTACTTAAACTCAAACAAGACAGCAAATTAAGGAAGCTAAATCGCAATATGTTGTTTGTTCTTTTATTGACAACTAAAAAATTTTGCGCCTTTTCCTCGAACGATATTTAGTTAAGGCTTTGTAGTGATACATTTGTTGCGTTAGTTCATGCTTGGATGAAGATGATAACCAAAGGAAATAAAGCATCAACTTTTAACAATTTAAAGTAAAACCTTAGTAAAACATAATCAATTTTGCGATAACAAGTTAATCTACAGGAAACTACTGTTCGTGTAAATTGGGACTGACTTTTTGATGTTTAAGACAAACTGGTACACCATTGTATATATTCATACAAGAAGAAGGTATTTCATTTCCTAGTTGCTGACGTTTGTTTTTTCTATGACGAGTTGGGTAAAAAAATAAATGTAAACAATTTCGAACCTCATCGTTATTCATTCATTGCCTACGCGTGCTTAGAGCGACAGTAACTGTGACTGCCTTTTCAAAGTCGACTCTGGTGGAAAAGCGTGACGGGGGATTTTTTCAAACGAGCACGTAGTTTTTATCTCCCGGGATTCAGAAATTTCTATGGCAGTATCTATGATGGTAAGCAATTTAGAGGCAATTAGAATATTCAAAATTCTAGCAACTCAATCGATGAACGAAACAACTTGAAAAATGAAATAAATAAATCTTCTATCCCTTTTTCACCGTACTTTAGCCAAGGCAACTCGCAGAGTACTAAACATAGTGAAAACTAATCTTTCCTGTTTCCGCAGATGAAAAAATGAGAACAAAAATGTTTAAACGTCAAATTCCTGCCATCGGTTGTAAGGTAAAATTATTCTTCGTTGATTTATAATCAGTTTAACATTGAAAATCACACCATTGTAATGGTATTAGACACGCGCTGCAGAAAGTCATGAAAAGAAAGAAAACAACACGAAACGAAACAGTTTTTTTTTAATTTTCAGAGCCAAAAACACAAGATACAAAACTAATGCACGTAACAACAGTACAACATATCACATCTGTTTTTGACTTACATTTCATCTGTGCGTCAGTCTGAAATTTCAGTTCAAATTTTGTTCTTTGGCCTAAAGCGGGACAGAAGATTTTGACTTATAAGAGACCCTCAAATAAGCCCATTCTAAAAGTTCCCTTTTTCTGGAGCAGCGCTGAACAAGATTCCCGTTTGAATTTCTTGACCGCCTTTCCGGGACATTGTTAATTCAGTTATAACGAGTAACTTCATTACGTTGAAACTATCTCTGCTTCTGAGTTAAACTTGCGCTGAAGCTCGTACAGAATAGGCAGCGCTGAGTTCTGAGGGTTAGTCTCGATTTCTTTCCCCAGCAAGGATGCAATACTAAAACAGATTAACGCTTTCAAATCATATAGAAGAAAAAATATATCTCGTTCCAATTAAGTTCCACTCAAAAAATATAATTTTATTCCAAAGAATTTCCACTATAAAGTTCCGCATAATTGGCATTTATAAACAGAGCTCTGACATTAAAAATCCTTAACCTTATTAGAAAAGTTTAGCCATCGTTTATTGTACATTATCAATAAAACCGCAGATGGTAATAACAATATTATAATCACAATAAACATCAAAAATAATGAATTGTTTCCAAACGATATCTAGTTCCAGTAATTTATAATAATTTCCAACATCAAATCTACATACTTTGGGAGAACACCGATAGACCATTACCGCCCATTATCAGGTGTCTCATTAAGCGGAGAAAAATAAAATGTTTTACTTCTTAGGTACAACGAATCTTTCGATTTATCAAAATATGTTAAATTTACATCATATCATCTACACACCTCCCTTCATCTTTCCCTTTTATTTCTCGAGTAGTAGATCGTACTACCCAGAGCCATCGAAAACAAACTCTTCACTTTAACAGAAAAAGAAGCATTTGCAAAAGAGTCAATAACAAAAGTAAACAGAAAAAAATACCGACTTGTTTTTTGAAAAAAAAAATCGAAACTGTCAAATTTCAAAAAAATAGATGGCCTAAAAACTTTCAAGAACAATTCAATTATTATTGACACTTTTGATAGTAATAACACAATTGGAGAAAGCTGGATAAAGGATTAAAATTGCTGGAAAATCTGAACATTTAATTCCACTTTCGAAACTAGAAGTTTTTTGTGAAATTTTCAATTTTGCTGGGAGTTCGCCTTCCTTTTAAGAATGGAAATTAACTCAAAAAGAAACCGAAAGTCAAACTTTGAAAAAGTAATTTTGAGCCTGAACAAATTTGAAGACTTTTCCTGAAAAACGAAAAACAAATCATCACGACCTATTTAAGAGTCTGAACTGATTACGTCTCAAATGGCATAATTCCCAAATGGAATAAAACTGAGAAGTTTCCCAAATGGCGTAATTCCCATGCAACAATTGCATTGCAAAATATTTTGAGAGGATCTTTGTTTAGTGATCAAGGTGTGAAAAGTAGCAAAGTTGTCAATTCAAGTGTTGTTTGACATTATCTCGAAAAAACTTTAAGAACCCTTATCAAAAGCATAAGTTGTTAGTAATTAGTTTTGTGGGATCAATTTATCCAGTAAAACTGCCAGGTAACATTTTTTGGAAGCTATAAATTCAAATTTTGTTCACACATCTTGTCGTTCCTAAAAAAAGGAGAAACAAATGTTGAAAAAGCTTTTGATTGTCATGGAAATTTTGAAATTTATGCCATTTGAGAAAAAGTCTGTTTTTATGCCATTTGGGAGTTATGCTTGAATTTCAGATGCAAAAAAAAAACAATTTTTATAACTTTCAAACCAAACAGAATGCCTATTAAAATCACCAAAAAAACTCATCAAAAAAGTTATTAACTCATTTTAGAAGTATTCGGAAACGAAAATATAACGAATCCTATGTTAAAATAGCAAAATGTTGAAACATTTACAAAAATTATCAGATTGATGTCTTAGAAAAAAAATACGCTTAAAACAAAGAGCTAAAATTTAATCAGTGAAACCTTAAAATATTTCGATTTAATTTTGAATTATTTGAACAGAAACTCAAACTTAAACTCGACTTGAAACTGCATCGAAAACCAAATCGTGAAAAGATATATTTGAGCGGGAACAAATTTTAAGAATTTTCCGAAAAAACACGACTAAAACAAATGTTTTGTCATTTCGTTCATTTCCACTGAATAAGATATTTCATGAATTTTGTACATAATTCTACTGGAAGATTTTAAATAAACTACCTCACTGGATACTGAAGGCTTTTTTACGAAACAGGATTTTGCCCCGCAAAACAACTGGCGCTAAACTTATCGATGTACGAAACACGAAAAACAGAAACTTGTAGTTGTATCTCGATCAAAAATTGGCCACCAATCGTATTGAAAATTTGGAATAAAAAACATAATCAAGTGACAAATCCAAGCATAACACTAAAAAGGAAAGAGGCGAAAATGCAAACATAGCATACAGTTGTTGTTTGCAATTGTTGTTTGCGACCAGACAGTTGGAACAGTCCATAAACGCAATTAAACAGAAAAAAAAGCAATTGTTTCTTTTAAAATCTCAACATTTGAATTTCGACGAAAAATAGATGCCTTTAAAGCTTTATGAATTTTTAGAACAATTCATTTTTAGCAATTTCTCAATAAAATTGACCCAATTTGAGAAAACTGGATCAATAAGTAAATTTTAAATTCGCTGGGAAATCTGAAAATTAAATTCCACCTTCGAAATTTAAGTTGATCACGTCTTTTGTGACCTTTACCCTTTCGCTAATCGACAGTGGAGTTTGCCTTCCTTTTAACAAAGAAAATGAACGACAGAGGAGTTTGCCTTCCTTTTAACAAAGGAAATGAACGGAACTTTTGCGAAAAATTGAACTTCAGTCTGAACAAATTTTAAGACTTTTCCTGAAAAAAAAATGAAGAAGATGAAGATCAATTGAGCAATCTCCCCTCCCTCCTCCTTCTGATCGATTGAGCTATCATTTCTTCGAAGTAAACAGGTTACCAGGGTGAGTTTTCTGACCTCAAAAAATTATGCCAAAAAACGCTACAGCATCTTATTAATGTTTGCAATTGCACATTTTTCTTCAAACAAAACAGGAAAAAGCCAGTTAAATATGTGAATAATTAAACATCGAATAATGTGGGAGATTACTCAATTGATCCAAAAAAAATCATCACGACATATATAAGAGTCTGAACTACATTCATTGACTCCTAATAAAAGCTTAAAGCAGCCTCGGTAGACTAAAAAAAGGAAAAGCAAAACTTTCTGGCCACGTGTTCGAACAAACAGCTTTAGGTTCATATACACTTGCCGTAGCACCTGTTCCATCCTGCCTAAAAATACCAGACTAGTCACATATACTATCTTGGTAAACAAACGGCATCAATGATTGCGTTTTCTTTCAGCATATTGATCAAATAAATGTACACAGAAAATCATTACAAAATGTACAAGGGAGCCTAAAAAACCCTTTGCAAAAACCACCGCGTTTCAAATTTCCCCATCCTACGTTTCAAATATTCCATTTTTCCAAATGTCTGAAGTGATATTATGGCTGAATGCGTGATGTTACGATGTAAGATATGAATCACAAATGTGTTCACATCAGTTAAATTGGGTGGTGCATCGACTAGTATAAAAATCGAAGCACTAAACACATATTCAGTCAAAATTTTAAAAAATCTATTCAGAAGCAAGTATATAGATCAGTTTTTTCCCGTTGGATCAGCGATCATGTTGGATTCAAAGCAATCAGTTCCGGGTGTGACTGATCAAGCTTCATGTGTTAAAAAATTTTATGCTGGTTGATTGCTCAGTTCCCCGATTTTCTATTTTCAAAAGATTATGATCGTTGTTTTGTATTTTTGAGAAAAAAAGCTATCAATATTATGCTAGTCAATACATTTTCATGTTTTCAAACTTTTACGCTAGTCGCGCTTTAAATTGTTCCCCATGCATAATTCCATTACATAACGACAATGGCAAATTAGTTTTTCAAAACAGAAATTCAAATGAAACAGTTTTCAAAGTGAAAAGAGCCAATAAGGAAAAAGAGCTAGCAGAGAGGTGAATCTGACAGTGCAAAAGGGTAAATGGAGTTTTAAAATTGCAAAAAAGTTAATAAGCTTTCAAATGCTTGAATTTCAGATGCAAAAAAAAAACAATTTTTATAACTTTCAAACCAAACAGAATGCCTATTAAAATCACCAAAAAAACTCGTCAAAAAAGTTATTAACTCATTTTAGAAGTATTCGGAAACGAAAATATAACGAATCCTATGTTAAAATAGCAAAATGTTGAAACATTTACAAAAATTATCAGATTGATGTCTTAGAAAAAAAAATACGCTTAAAACAAAGAGCTAAAATTTAATCAGTGAAACCTTAAAATATTTCGAGTTAATTTTGAATTATTTGAACAGAAACTCAAACTTAAACTCGACTCGAAACTGCATCGAAAACCAAATCGTGAAAAGATATATTTGAGCGGGAACAAATTTTAAGACTTTTCCGAAAAAACACGACTAAAACAAATGTTTTGTCATTTCGTTCATTTCCACTGAATAAGATATTTCATGAATTTTGTACATAATTCTACTGGAAGATTTTAAATAAACTACCTCACTGGATACCGAAGGCTTTTTTACGAAACAGGATTTTGCCCCGCAAAACAACTGGCGCTAAACTTATCGATGTACGAAACACGAAAAACAGAAACTTGTAGTTGTATCTCGATCAAAAATTGGCCACCAATCGTATTGAAAATTTGGAATAAAAAACATAATCAAGTGACAAATCCAAGCATAACACTAAAAAGGAAAGAGGCGAAAATGCAAACATAGCATACAGTTGTTGTTTGCAATTGTTGTTTGCGACCAGACAGTTGGAACAGTCCATAAACGCAATTAAACAGAAAAAAAAGCAATTGTTTCTTTTAAAATCTCAACATTTGAATTTCGACGAAAAATAGATGCCTTTAAAGCTTTATGAATTTTTAGAACAATTCATTTTTAGCAATTTCTCAATAAAATTGACCCAATTTGAGAAAACTGGATCAATAAGTAAATTTTAAATTCGCTGGGAAATCTGAAAATTAAATTCCACCTTCGAAATTTAAGTTGATCACGTCTTTTGTGACCTTTACCCTTTCGCTATTCGACAGTGGAGTTTGCCTTCCTTTTAACAAAGAAAATGAACGACAGAGGAGTTTGCCTTCCTTTTAACAAAGGAAATGAACGGAACTTTTGCGAAAAATTGAACTTCAGTCTGAACAAATTTTAAGACTTTTCCTGAAAAAAAAATGAAGAAGATGAAGATCAATTGAGCAATCTCCCCTCCCTCCTCCTTCTGATCGATTGAGCTATCATTTCTTCGAAGTAAACAGGTTACCAGGGTGAGTTTTCTGACCTCAAAAAATTATGCCAAAAAACGCTACAGCATCTTATTAATGTTTGCAATTGCACATTTTTCTTCAAACAAAACAGGAAAAAGCCAGTTAAATATGTGAATAATTAAACATCGAATAATGTGGGAGATTACTCAATTGATCCAAAAAAAATCATCACGACATATATAAGAGTCTGAACTACATTCATTGACTCCTAAGAAAAGCTGAAAGCAGCCTCGGTAGACTAAAAAAAGGAAAAGCAAAACTTTCTGGCCACGTGTTCGAACAAACAGCTTTAGGTTCATATACACTTGCCGTAGCCCCTGTTCCATCCTGCCTAAAAATACCAGACTAGTCACATATACTATCTTGGTAAACAAACGGCATCAATGATTGCGTTTTCTTTCAGCATATTGATCAAATAAATGTACACAGAAAATCATTACAAAATGTACAAGGGAGCCTAAAAAACCCTTTGCAAAAACCACCGCGTTTCAAATTTCCCCATCCTACGTTTCAAATATTCATTTTTTCCAAATGTCTGAAGTGATATTATGGCTGAATGCGTGATGTTACGATGTAAGATATGAATCACAAATGTGTTCACATCAGTTAAATTGGGTGGTGCATCGACTAGTATAAAAATCGAAGCACTAAACACATATTCAGTCAAAATTTTAAAAAATCTATTCAGAAGCAAGTATATAGATCAGTTTTTTCCCGTTGGATCAGCGATCATGTTGGATTCAAAGCAATCAGTTCCGGGTGTGACTGATCAAGCTTCATGTGTTAAAAAATTTTATGCTGGTTGATTGCTCAGTTCCCCGATTTTCTATTTTCAAAAGATTATGATCGTTGTTTTGTATTTTTGAGAAAAAAAGCTATCAATATTATGCTAGTCAATACATTTTCATGTTTTCAAACTTTTACGCTAGTCGCGCTTTAAATTGTTCCCCATGCATAATTCCATTACATAACGACAATGGCAAATTAGTTTTTCAAAACAGAAATTCAAATGAAACAGTTTTCAAAGTGAAAAGAGCCAATAAGGAAAAAGAGCTAGCAGAGAGGTGAATCTGACAGTGCAAAAGGGTAAATGGAGTTTTAAAATTCCAAAAAAGTTAATAAGCTTTCAAATGAAAAACATCGCAAACGAGATTCAAACTAGAGCCATAGCAACTATTTGTCTACCAAACAGCAGTCACCAAATAGGCAGATAAAATACAGGCTGTTTAATTGCCATCTATGAACAGCAACAAACAGTTTTGACGAACATGGGAACGAAAACAAGTAAAACCGAATAAAAATATTGACTTCAAGTCACTATTTATTCTAATACTTTTATAATACTAGCGTGAGTAGAGAAAACTGGATCAATAAGTAATTTATATATTCCGCTGAGAAATCTTGAAATTAAAACTCACGATCGAACATAAACTTATTCACCTTTCTGAAAAATGGGGAGGCATTTCGTATTCGGATGTGTTATAGTTTTTAGTTCTATTTTTATCTTTGCTTAGTATTTTCTACGCAAAAAGCAAAATCAGGTACCAAAAAAACTCATTGGACTGGGTTGAATGATTAATCAGTTTAAAGCCCTTTTTTAAGTCCCTAATCCTTAAAAAAAACTAAAAAAACGTCATATTTCGAAAACTACATAGATTTGAGAAGTGGGATTTGAAGGCAAGATTTGCAACCCCTGAGAGTACCTTGACAGCAACCAACTACAGTTTGAGAATTTCAGAAACTGATAAAAAAAAATTTAAATTTAATTTTCTAGAAATTTTTGAAAAATCTCGAAAATTGCCTATCTCGTAAGCTAAAAGGATTTGGTTATTCATATATGGAGGCCAGAATCTCAAAACCTGGGAAAACTCTGACAACGTCCCAATATTGGGTTGCTAATTTCAACTTGATGAAATAAACACTGAATTTAAACTGGAAAATTGAAGAAAAAAACCTTAACCGCTGCAATATACGATATAGCTTAAACGTGAAAAAATTCTTTTGTTAAAAATGCAAGAATAACACGTTGAAAAAGCTCAATCATGGCAAGATAGTGATGACCGCATTAAAATATATATTAGATGAAAGTTAAAAAAAATTAGGAGACAGGTAGACATAATCAAATTAATTAGAAAAAAAAACAAGTATACAGACAGACACTTAATTTGGCCTCAAAAAAATTACTGAAAAATTAATGACCTTGCGGAAAACTAATTAAAAATTTTCTTAAGCATTGCAATATATGATAGAGCTTAAATATGAAAACATTCTTTCGTTAAACATGAAAAATTATTATGCTTAAACATGGGCGATAGCTGTCACTCGCATTTAAATATAGTATAGATAGATAGATAGATAGATTAGGTGATAACTCTGAGTGCACCGCCTATTACTCCAAAGAGCTGTGTCCATGACTTAGATGCGCTCACACCTAATACTTTTCTGATTGGGGCCTATGTTATCATCCAATAGATGATTCATAAGCATAACCGCTAAATGAACTGGGAGGTACATTCGGTTGCAAATTGTTCGCAGCCAAATAAGGCAATTTTTTCCTACAGCTCATTAAATGTTTATTGCTACAGTGCTGATTTAAATTAACCGGACAAAACGCGTTAAACTTGAAATTTAAAACCCGTTTTTCTCAAATTGGGTTGAATTTAGGTGAAAACTTATGAAGACAAAATTTGCTTAAGATTTTAGCAGAATTAATATGGTGTTATTTATTTTGCGAAATTCGGGCCCCAAATTTTACACCAAAAATGGGTGATTTTGGCTTTTTTTATTTAATCAAAAAATACGCCAAAAATAATCAGTCGATCACAGACATAATTATATCAAAGTGAGCCCCTTACGTAGCCCAACAAAATTTAAGAAAGGTATTTTCTCCAAAAAAATTGCAAATTGTTTAAAAAATGTTTTTAAATAAAAAGTTGGTATTTTATATAGTAAAAACGACCCTTTTGTCTATCAAACAAAAATAAAATATTCTCAACAATTTTTTGGAGGTTTTACCCTTCTTAAAGTTTGTTGGGCTACGTAAGGGGCTCACTTTGATATAATTATGTCTGTGATCGACTGGTTATTTTTGGCGTAATTTTTGATTAACTAAAAAAGCCAAAATTACCCATTTTTGGGGTAAAATTTGGGGCCCGAATTTCGCAAAATAAATCACACCATATTAATTCTGCTAAAATTTTAAGCAAGTTTTGTCTTCATAAGTTTTCACCTAAACTCAACCCATTTTGAGAAAAACGGGTTTTAAATTTCAAGTTTAACGCGTTTTGTCCGGTTAATTTAAATCAGCACTGTATTGAACTATAAAATGTTTATCGTGAAAAACCGTTCATTTATCTTCACTCAAAAAATTTGTGAACTTCGTCCACTCTAACAAACAACGCAAAAAATTTATACCGAATGGGCAGGGCAATCTTCATTGAAAAAGGGCGGATTTCAATAAAAATTATCATCGCAGACACCCCGGAAGCTTCATTGTCTAAACACAGTAACGTGTGACTTTGTTTGGAACAAAGTAGACGCGTATTATAACCCTAACTTCTCTAATATAAATCGTCTTTACAGTATACTAGAAACAGTATCTACTTACGTTACCATGTACTGTGGAAAAGACAGCGCTTTAGCAATTGAAATGATACGATTTGCTTCAGTGAAAACTTGTCCTCTTTTCTCCGGCGTTACTTTCTTCGCTAGTCGCACAAACTTCTGCGCATCTGCGAACAAATTGGGACTCTGCAGCCAGGCTATACATGAAGAATCGTTATAACTGCAAAATTTTGAAGACTCCGTCTGGACTGGGAAGCTGGAACTTTGCATTCCGGACACTAAATCTTCTTCGAAAACACCTGCTGGAACTACTTGATTCATTGATCCGATCCATGCTGGCTTCTGATCGGGTGGAAAAATTCTTAAAACCAGGTTGCTTTTTTTCTTCGAAGTATCTGCATAAGTTGTTATAAAACCATCAAAACCTGTCGATCTTATACTAGGAGAATTGAAAGACACAAGTGCAACCAGATTCAATGTTGTATCCTCTTGTTTCAGAGCCATGAACGACGCGTGCAGAATCGCGCATAAAGTAGCTCCATTCTCTTTTGCTGAAACACGACCCAAAGGAAAAAAACATGGCCAACAGACAGTTGGAAAAATGTCAATAAACTCAAGCAAAGAGAAAAAAAGACTGATTACGTCAGCAATATTTTCAAAGATAAACAAGTATAGCCGGTTACTGTGCAAATAGCACAGAATATTCCGACCAGTCTTAAGAAAATACTATAATAAAAGTTTTTTTTTTTCAAATTAGTGTCGTTTTTTTCTGTGTGTTGTAATAAAAAGATCTGAACGAAAAAATAGAACTTAGTCACATTTGACAATCATATTTAAGTAGGCCAATTTGAAAACAGGTTTTGTAGAAAACTTACTAGAAAAATGAAAAAAAAAACCCAAAAACTAACTTTCCTTAAGTAAAAGTAAATTTTCACGGCTTAAATTAAGCACAAACAATCGATTGCAAGCCTGACCTATTAGCTTATTAGCTAATTATTAGCTCGAAATTAGACGAAAAATCAAAAATTTCAAACCAGTTTCTCGCGACATAAGAAAAAATTGTGGGGAATTTTTTAATGTGGTTCGAATCATGACTGAAAAGGATTTAATATGATATATCACTCAACACAGTCCGATGATTTTTTTTTGGTTCCTGATTTTGCGTGGAAAACAAAAGAAAAAACACACAAATACAAAGTTCGTCCCATTTTCAATGGTCGGAACAATTAGTATCAGTGCAAAGTAATTACGGAACTTTGACAACGCAGTTGCCGTTAACATTTAGAGAAACTAAAAACGAATATAGAACTTTTGATTGGAAATGGCCCTCCGGCTCAAAGAAGTCCTTTCAAATCGAACCATGATCAAACTTTGCCAATGCAGGAAATACGAACATGGTATGTTATGCTTGATGATCGACCATAACATGATGATAAAACGATGATCATATAATCATTCTTGCGCGTTGATCATACCAAAAAAATTCAAATTTCAGGATTAAATTTCAAAAAATCAAAAAATAAAGTACGCTCAGGAAACTACATGAAAAGTACCATTTTTCATGTTTTTTCCACTTCTATTTCAGAACAAAACCCAACATCAATGTTTTTTTGAGTGGTTAGATAATGGGATCTGAACAAAAAACTAGAACTTGGGCATATTCGACAGTCATAGTAAAACAGGCAAATTGGAAAAAAAAACAAAATAAAATTTTTTAATAACAACAAATCTTTAATAAAAACTTTTTTTTTAGAATATGCGCAAGTAAAAATTTTCGATTTGACCCATCACACGTAATAGTAGATATTATCACTCAATATAATTATAATAAACTGTTCTCAAGGTCGGTTTGTCACAATGATAATTTAGCATAACTCATCCTTTGCCAAATTTGAGCGGACACTGAAAGCTTTACAGACTGCTTGAAAGCGCCGTGTGAGAGCCTTCCTTCAATTTAAACTAGTTTCCATTTGTGAGTAATTTTAATTAAACTAATTTGGTTTTCACAAGGGGTGATAAATTCAGCAACGAACAGATGGTTACTAGTTACCTGCTGAGGTGACATCAGCAACCACGACATGTTTCGACATGACAGGAGGCCCAAAACAATCAGCCGCCTGAAGGAAACCTTCTATCACAATTTCCAACCCATTTCCCTCATCTAACCACAACTCCGGCATGAAAGTCACCCAGCACTCTTTAGTACCGAATTTCAGAACAGATGATTTTTGTACTTGAAACAGGTCCAAAATTGTTCTGTCAACTTGACCTCCAACTGCTGGAGGAAATCGAACAAGCTTCCAACCATTTATGAAATCTGGAGTGCAGGACGTGTCGAAATGGCAGTTTCCATCAAGTATTACAAATTTTTTCAGGTCAATTAGACCATTTGAAGTCAACTCGGCTTCGTTCGGTATGCAAGAAGGTTCATCGTTGGCTTCGCGTGTTTTCAAAACCACCACCTGAAAAAGATGAGATTACATAAGCAAAGCCCCCCCCCCTCAGGGATTCGACCCCCTGCCGACCCAAAGGGTCCCTCCTCTTTACTATTTTGAGATATCCATCTAATTTTGAGGGGGGGGGGGGGGGGGCGCACCGAAAAAACGCCATTTTTTTGCCGAAAATCTCCAAAAAGTGCCTAAAAACGCTTTTTTATTTGGCCTGTTTTTGCGGCGCATAAATTTTGGTCAAAACGGGGTCTTTGTAGTGCTTTGGGAGAGCTCAGAAAATCAATTTGGTAGACCTTAAAAAAATCCGCCCCCCCCATCTATATATGCAAAGAGCTTAAATGATTGAATCAAGTCATGTGAGTGTCAGAAGCAGCACACAAATTATTAGCATTTGATGTATCGTCTACAATAAAACACATCATCTGAACCGTCCCTCCTCTACTTTGGCACATATTGAATTATCCAATGAACATTATGAAATAAGAAAAAATTAAGAAATGAATGCAACCGGTACAAAAGCAGGGGGCATCCAACAAAACTTTTTATTTAAAAACATGAATGATAAAAAATATTTTCTTTAACTTAAATGGTTAAATCTTCAAGACCTAAAGGGTTTCAGATCTTCGTAACTCTAAATTAGAAAAAATGACCTAAAATGACCGACAACAAAACAACTCAATTTTCCATAGTTTAAAAAATAAAACGTTTCAAAACCACTAAATTCATAATTGATTGTTTAATCCAGCGTAAATAATCTTATATGTTAGACTCTTTTTCCTTTATTTATTCTTACTTCAATGATCATTTTGGAAGACCAGAAAAAATGTTAACTAAAAAAATGAAATTTTGAGCCAAAAAATTAGCAAGAGGCCACATCTGCATCTGAAGGCATTAACCTGCCATTACCCCACAAAAGGATCGACAATTCTGAATATCAAAAAGTGTTGTTTTTTTTTAATTTACCACTTTTGAAAAATCATAAAATCGTTTTTATCTTGGAAAGTAAAATGCGTTGAGCAGTCGTATTTTGAGCACAGATTTAAACGTCCTGAGAGTAGCTTGGCAGAAACCCACCACAGAGATGAAAATTTCAAGCTGAGAAACGATATGGGTAAGCAAAACTTTGAACAAATTATAAAAGACGGCAAACTCGGAAGCCTAGATAATTTGAGCAGTCAAACTTTGAGGCATGACCTGCAAAGTCTGATCCTACCCTGAGAGCGCCCCACTGTAGGTTCGCAAATTTCAAACTCAAATTTTGTGAAAAATTAATTTATATACTAAAAAAAACCAATATTGTAAAACTTAAAATATTTCAACAGTCGCAACTGGAGAAAAAAATTGCGACCCTTAACGCTATCCTGGAAGCACACGCACACGGCTAAAGGGTTGTAAAAATTCAATTGTATAAAATTTGAAAACCAAAGCATTTGAGCGGTCACATTTGCATGCAAAAATTACAATCCGTGAGAGTATTCTGACAGCACCCAACTACAGGGTGAGAAATTTTGAAACTTCAATATTTGCGAAAATTTTTGAAATCCAAGCTTTCTGATTTTGTTTTGAAAAAACCATTAGAAAACGTCTCATTTCAGAAACTTGAAGGATTTGATCAGCCATACTTAGAGGCAAGAAGTTCACGCATGAGAGCACCTTTATAGTGCTTCACTACAGAGTTGTGAATATCAAAATTTCTGAACCTTTCGTTATCTCAAACCTAGGAAAAATTTGCAAAAAATATTGCTGGATTGATGGCTAGATGAATGGCTGGTTAGACAGCTGATTAGTTGAATGAATAGCTAGATGGATGGCTAGCTGGTTGAATGGATAGCGGGTTAGATGAATCCATGAGATTTGATGGATGGCAAAATATATTTATGGTTCGATGGATGGCTGTATTGGTTAATGAATGGAATTATGGCTATATGAATAGCTTGTTGAATCGATAGCTGTTTGGATGGATGGCAAGTTGGATGAAACCATGAATTGGTGGATGGCAGGATAGACCAATAGTTCGATGGATGATTAGTCCGTTGAATGGATAGCTACATGGATGGATGGCTAAATGTATCGATGGCTAGATCAATGACTGGCTGAGTGTGTGGATGGAAAGCCGGATGATTGATGGGTGGTTAAGATGGTGAACTATTGGATGGATGAATAGATGGCAGGATGATTGGAAGGCTAGACTGATAGATGGGTGGCTGGCTGACTGGATGGATGGAAGGCAGGATTGATGGCTGAGTGGTTAGATCGATGGATGGACGGATGAGTGGTTACAAGAACGGATGGCTGAATGGACGAATAGCTAGACAGATTGATGGATCAGTCGATTGTCGATTGGGTGGATTCACGGGAGTATGCAGATAGGCTAGACGGGTGGAGGTATCGGTGGACTCACGGATGGCCGGAGATGAAGGAATGGATAGTTGGTTGGATGCATCCATGGTTCGATGGATGGCTAGTCCGTTGAATAGATGGCTAAATGGATCGGTGGCTGAATTTGATGGAGGAATGGACTGCTAGATGGATGGATTGCTAAACGGAATGGATTTCTTGACGAATGAAACGCTTAATGGATCGATGGCTGGATAATTTAAAGTATGGATAGATGATTGAATGGATGGACGGGTGGTTGGATAGATGGCTGGACGAATGAATGGCCTGATGGATGGATCGCTTGATGAATGAATGGCATGATAGATAGCTGAATGGAATATGGATGGCTTTTGGGAGGAATGCATGGCTAGATGGATGGATTGATGGGTGGCCACATGGATAAGCAGAACTATAATGGGCTGTCTAATATATCTTTGACAGCATACCCTTAAAAAGTTGACCATTTCAACCTCAATGAATGGGAATTTCGTCAAATTTTGGAGGCAAAACCCTGAGAAAACCATGAGAGCACCTAACTATAGTGTGGAGAAATTCAAGTTTTGAAAAAAAATCCAATAAGGACATATCTCCGAAACTAAAAAAGACTTAGTTATTCCCATTTAGAAACCAATTTCGCAACCCCTGGGATAATTCTGGCAGCACCCGACCATAAGGTTGCAAGTTTTAAATTTGGTGAAAAAACGCTGAAAAGAAAAACGCCCGTGACAATGTATAGATGGATGAATCCAAGTATACACTACACTGAACTGCAGTGCCCTCCTCCCCTTTCCAAGCTGGCATCATTGCTGTAGCCTTATATTCGGACCTTTCACGTTTTTTAAAAAAAATAGCGTACTTTCATTGAAAATATGATGAAAATTTCAAGCAAAATATAACGATTGTACAATTAAATAGCGCTGTGAGATAACAAAGTGATAAAATGAGTTAAAATGCTGCAAGTGAAGAAGTGGAATTTGGGTCGAAAACGGCACCCGCTGTTGTGTAAAACGTTCTGCTGCCTCTCAGGCATGTTATCGAGGATTTGATTAGTAAAAATGACAGTTTGCATCTGATCGTCGAGACTGATTTTGAATATTCTGATGACGTTCTTTTCTGATAAAAGGTAGTCAAGTCTGTTTTAAAATGCTGTCTCATATCCTTGGACTCCTGTTGATCCAAAAATAAGCGGTGTAAAAATGCTCGATTTCTATAACTCTCTCATTGTAGAATCTTTGCTTTTTGTTTTCCTGCTCGTTCAACAGAGCCTCCACTTTTTTCGTTTGATGGCTAGATGAGTTGGGATAAAAAGACCCTTAAATCGAAGAATGCACGATGGCCATTTTGACTTCGAAAGTTTTGAGCGCTGATATCGAACCGAGCATGTTTAGAGGAGTTTGCGGATCTGAGAGCCAGGTCTTCAGTTATCAGTGGCTGAAGGGAGGGGGCTCTTGTCGTACGTCGACATAAACTTCCCATGCCTCATGGGAACAAATCCCCCTTTTTGCATATCATCGTGTGCTTAGCATCGAAGGTCGACCCACAGGGGCATTTCTAGGGAAGATCGTGTAGGCTGAGTCCATATCGGAGCCACAGAGCATCTCTGAATGACTAATTATCTAGTGCAAAGCCCTCTTCTTCCATCGGCAGTGCCGTTGACCAAATCGACGTTGACTTGCAGCCCAAGACTTCAATGCATCTGGTAAAGCTTTCACTCGCCGCTTCTTTGACAATAGCAGATTCTACTTTTAATCATTCATATTTCGAATAGTTTTGGGAGTGTTCGCTGCAAGGTTGTCGGGGATTGTCTCTTGCAGCAGCAGGATAACTGCTTTCAGCTGGTCTGCTACGAGAAGCGAGTTAAGAAATTACATCTCAGCATCGATAACCGGGTTTAAATACAGAGTCATCCCATTTTTGATGGAAGAGCTATTAAATCCCTCATCATGGACTGACGTTTTTTTCAGAAGAGCGTTGGAATGAATTTTTGACCACAATTGTTTCGATGGGTTCGAAAAAGCCTGATGCTTGTGGAATAGTGCGCATGATATACGAGCACTTGGAGGAGAAACCATGTGTGTACACTGCATATGCACATTGCGGACTTGCGATAGCTAAAAGGCTGAGTATTTCTAACAGTATGGACCATTTTTTGACTTTCGCTTGTATATACGAGTCTACGTAGGCTTTTTATCCAATAGCAGCTCCAAGATGTTTCGCTCCTGATGCAGTCACGCTAATTCCGGTATCAGCAAACATCTCCTTGGCAATCTCGTGTGTTGATGTTTTGTAATCAGCCTTGCTTTTCCAGCGTTTGGAAAGTAACCAATCAGTGGTCATGAAAGCTCTAACGATTCCCAACAATGCTTTATCTCATTCAACATGCCACCAAGCACCCCATCATCTGCAAAGAATACTGTCCGTGTTCCAAGTTCGAGTTGTAGAAGGTTCCTTAATTCAAGCGCGTACATCACCATAGCTACTGCGTCTCCTTGGGTGGTTCCATCGTCGGACGAGGTTCCACCTTCATCATAGAACAAGCGGGATGCTTTAAGGCAAAAATTCAGAATAAAAACTAATATTTCATGGCAGCTAATTTGGATATTATGCAGTGCGGCTTTCCGGTTGAGGCTGTTGAATGCATTCTCTTCATCTGAGTAGAACGCCTCCACACTCTTCCGGGTCGAAACTTTCTCGCATCGCATGAACTGCAGCTTCACTGACAGCTTTAAAACCAATACAGCTTGTAGTGGGCCAACTAATTGCTGTAAGTCTTTCTTCAATGTGGAAGCCACTACTTTAGCAATCAGTCGTCTAAGCACTTCTCGTATTCCTATCGGTCCTTCTCCGGGGTTTTTGCTGAGAGCGATTGTGCGGCAGTCGGAAAATAATGGCCAAATTGTAATCTATGTTTTGTTTACAGAGTCTACGAATGGCCTATGCGTAATTATTGCATAAATAAACGAGAAAATATTCATAACAATCATAAGTTGGGGGAAAAATTATGAGCCATGGCAATATACGATATAGCTAAACGTGCAAAACTTCTTTCGTTGAAAATGCAAAATTAAAACGCTTAAACATGGTGATATACGAGTCACATCATTTTAATATTTTACTGGCGTGTAACGCACCTCCGGTACTCATAATAAACCGCATATATTGGAAATTACAAATTTTGAAGAACCATACAATTTTAAGTTATATAAGTTCTTCGAAAAATTTCAACTGAACTAAGAAACGTCACATCTGGGAAACTAAAAGCAATTGAGCAGTCGCATTTGGACGCAAGATTTGCAACTTTTGAGAGTACTCGTACAGTAACCAACTACAACGTTGAGATATTCAAATTTTCAGAAACTTCACCTTTTGAAGGTATTTTTTTGAGAACCAGAAAAAAAATCACATCTCGAAAACTACCAACGTCTTATTTGATGGCAATAATCGCAATCTTTGAAAGTACTCTGACAGCACTCAACTACAGGGTTCGGAATTTCACTTTAGTGAATTATTTTGTAATTTGATTTTCCTGAAAATTTCCAAAAAAAATCACATCATCGATTCCAGGCAAGGCGCATCCCTGACTTCTCACAGAAACTTGTAATTGGCACATCAAGGACAAAATATATCTAACCAGCTCTAGTAAAATCTACAATTCACTCTTACCGCGGGTGGAAACAGTTTTACAAAACAGACCAAAGCGCCTCAATACAGTAACCATTATCGCCGGGTTTAAAGATAATAGGCTTCATCTACGAGAAATTGAGCTTAAGTGGAAAAACTTGATCAATTTAGTTACAAACAAGTTTCAGCCCTAAAACCTAATCATCCCCAAATCAATCCAAAGCTCCAATAATAATGATGTTGATCGCAAACTCTACATTCATAACCATGTACTGTTTAACTGAATTAATAAGTTTGTTCATCCACACACACTCATTGTTTTGCCCAATCTTAATCTAAATGTAACCCCTCAAATGTTATATTTACTTCGCCTTCTTTGGTAATGAATTCTTTACAAATTTTCTTGCTTATATTTTTTCTAATTTCTCTTGATAATCTGACGATACCGTTCCTCCTTATATAATGTCTGATCAAACACATTGTATCTTATGTAACAACCACCTACACGGCCGTGGAATTTGGTGCACAATATGCGCAGCCTACAAGCATGCAAAATGCAGCGGCCTTAACCGAGGCAGCGACCACGATGAAAATTTCAGCTGCATTCGCTGCACCTCTCTGACTATATACAACACTACAACTGACATCCAAGTCCCTCCAACTCAATCTTAACAAGTTCCTTCGACCAACGATCAAAATCCTGCAATTGCAAACAGCAACGAAACTAACAGCCACACCCGACCCTTGGTCAAATCCCACACCTGAACTAAAAGATAAAATAAGAACAATCTACAGCCATGTAGTGCACTGGAAACCAGTCTTCATGATCCTCGTAAAAAAACAGAGTTGGGTTTTACTTTATAGAAACGCTAAATAAAACCCTCAATTCGTTAATTGAAACAACACATACGCAATGCACGCAACAATGATATTCCCTCACCTCATGCTATGCAAAACCAAATCGGAGAGTGATAATTCGAACTCCAAAACTATAGCAAGAAAGTTTAAGCACTGACATGAGGGCGAACTGGACAAACTTTTTAACGAGGGAAAAGCGCTGCAAATGCGCTTGGTAAAGAGTAAGAAAAAGAAAGAAGAAAGTGAAGCACAGCAATTTAATAAATTAACGAGCACCGGAAAAATATCGAGTGCTATTGCTAAATTAACTGATACCTCCAAGGGAGTTCTCTCACTCGACGAAACCGTCAAAGCTCAAACTGTTGAGAAACACCTTCCCGTGGAGCCAATAAACAAGACTTATACAACATCATGCTCCGAAGATACAATCCCTTTCCACTCATCCACATTCGACCAAATAAATACCCAGAAAATTAGGAAGGCTGCCATGACAACACATGGTTCTCATGGACCCTCAGGCCTGGATGGAAATGAGTGGAGACGCATACTAATGCACTTTGACCAACAGTCAGATGAAACATCAAAGACACTAGCCAAAATCGCACAGAAAATATCGACAGAAATACTAAGTCCTGAGCTGCTCGAACCATTTAATGCCTGTCGACTAATTCCACTTGATAAAAACCCAGGAGTTAGGCCAATTGGCATAAGTGAAGTCATCCGCAGAATAATAGGTAGAACGATCACAAAGTGCTTACAAAGCGAATCACCAACTATGCCTTGGCCAAAAATGTGGCATCGAATATGCAATTCATACGCTTAGGAAGCAATACGAGAAATCCGATTCCGATACAATATTACTGAGAGACGCGGAAAATGCATTTAACTCCCTAAACCTGAACTTGGCTTTGAAATATATACCCTTCTATATTACCCGCTATACAGAACTCATACTCTAATCCATCTAAGCTCTTCATAAATAAAAAAATTATCTTATCTAGAGAAGGAACCACACAAGCAGACCCATTAGCAATGGCGATGTACGGGCTAGCCACTTTACCTTTAATAAAATTAGTCAACGATACCAGCTCAACTCAGAAATGTTATGCAGACGATGGGAACGCAGTCGGAAATTCGAAAAGCCTGCGAACAGTTCTTGACAATATTATCAAACACGGAAAATATTTTGGATATCACGTAAAGGCATCGAAATGCCAGCTCATTTTAAAAGATGAACAATACAATGAGGCGTTATAAGTATTCAAAAACACCTAAATTGAAATGAAAAAAGGGGCCAGAGTACTTGGTTCTGTCATAGGATCCGAGACTGAAAGTAAAAATTTCTTAGAAACTCAGTTAGAAGAAGGTAACAAAATACTGAAAAAATTTCGCAAGATCCCGAAAACATCACCACAAAACGTGTACTCCAGTTACACCAAAGCGGTAAAATGTGTAACTATCGTTTTCAGCTAGATCTACACTCAATACCACAGAAAACATGCAGGACCGCGAGAAGATACTGCAGGAAAATCTCATTCCAAATTTAATTGGAAAAGATAATATTAGCCATCAACTTAGAGACATCTACGTTTCTTTGCCACTGAAAATGGGTGGTCTAAATATCAAGCTACCTTCTGACTATGAGAATTTTTTAGAACCGTCAATAAAAACATCGTCAGTCTTAGACACATACGACCCATTAACAGCTATATCTGAGCAAGAAAAAACCTATACAAAAATCAAAACACTTAAAACTAAGAACAAACCAAAAGGGAACTAACATTTTGAACAACTTGAGCGACAGTGAAAAATACGCACTTGAGCTAGCCTCCGAAAAAGGAGCCTCAAACTGGTTAAACGCACTGCCACTTAGCAGATATAATTTGAACCTAAATAAATCCGAATTCCGGGATGGAATTTATCTCAGATATGGTTGGGAACCAACCAACACATTCCACTCACATCTGCATGTGGTCAATCTTTCGAACCAACGCCCTTCAATGTGCAAAGGGTGGATACACCCACATGAGGCATGACGAAATCAGAGACACCTTTTCCAACCTCATGAGCGAGGTTTGCTATGATGTTGAAATCGAGCCGAAACTTCAGTCGTTGCAAGGCAAGAGCTTTGTCAACAATTCAACCACAACTGATGAAAACCCTCGACTAGATGTAAAAGCAAACGGATTATGGGGCTCAAGGTTCAGCCAACCTTCTTTGATGTCAAAGTCTTCAACCCACACGCAAAAACTTCACGAAGACTACTGAAAGACGCCTATAAGTACCACGAATCACTAAAAAAGTCAAAATACCAACAGAGAGTTTTTCAAGTCGAACAGAGCAGCTTCTGCCCGCTCATTTTTGGCTGCACTGGTGGGGCCGCACGAGCAGCTACGCGGACAATGCAGTGCATAGCTGAAAAACTTAGTGAAAAAAGGCATGAAAGCTACTCAGAAACAATAAACTATATATGAACTAAGATAAGCTTTGTATACAGGGGTGCAGATCACTGCGAAAGACAATTCAATTAGTGCTATTATATAGGAGGGACGGTGGAAGTAAATACCTAAAATGACAATGCATTAAATGCTGACTTGACTTAATTCCTGCAAAATTGTTCACTGATGTATTTATATAATGCTGGTATGGGCCCTATCCAGTTTGCGCACGACCGCACCTAAACAGAAGGGTCCCTTTTATAATTTACCTCTTTTTCTAGATAGATAGATATGGATTACCTGAACAAAGACATTTGGCCCCAATGAAGAGTAGATTAATAATTTGACATCGTCGCTAAAGCTTTCGAAGTTACAACTTGTGACCCCAACATCGTTTCCTTGTGATTGAGCCATGTTTGCAATTTCATTACGTAAATTTTGGTAATCACGAGAAAACGAAAATTTTCTTCCGTCTGAGAATAAGATTCCAATTCTTTCCAAAGATTTGCTGCAACTGTCAATTAAATATTCAAGACCTGAACATATGATCAAGATGAAACTTTTGAACAATATTGAACCTTATAAACTAAATTGTGAAATACAAAACACAAATTAATAACACGAACTTTCTTTCTTTTGAAATATTAAACTTACATGCATTGAGCCCAGCAGCATTGTTTGAACTTTGACAACACACGAAGATAAGCAACGGTTTTACCATTTAACCCTAAAAAGAAGGCAAGGAAACATAATATTTGGATAGCATTGTGTTGATTGCAAAAAAAATAACTTAACAAAAAAACTAAGATTTTAATTGCATATTGATAGTTAAAAACATGAAGCGAGTGCAAATTTTATGGAAAAGTATTTATTGACAAAAAAACTATGTTAATTTTCAATACGGATTTGTAAAAAGAAAATCAAGCACACTTCAAATGGTTATCTATCTTTAAAAAATTGACACAATCAACAATGGAAACATGTAGAAACTATTTATACGGATTACGAATATACCTTCGAATTACATCAGGTCTTGAAGACATGATATATTGTGCCAGTCGGTCATATCTGGAAGTTTGGCCTTGTTTGGGCCTAATTGTTGTGATAAACTTATTGAATAGTTTCATGTGATATGATACACTCATAATGGTACGCTTATAAGAAGGCCCGGTACGGGATTTTAGAGACAAGCTCGTCAAGCACCAATACTCCACCTCTACCCGGGCATCCCCGCCGGAACCTCCACCCGTCAAAAACCAGGTTGTAATCGCTTTCATTTCTTTTTTGTTATTAGTTTTTTTAAAATCCAGTTCTCTACAATCCATTTCACAATCTATTCTTTTTCTTGTTTTGCCTCTTTTGTACCCTGTTTTGTGAATGTCCGTGCCGAAGTACAGGCCGAAGTGGCTTCACACATTGAGCAGGAAACTGGTAATAGGAACCTCAAGGACCAAGTACTGCAGCCCCAGATATGTCGGAGCCACGGTTTACTCGTACAGAGGTGCAAAGCTAGCCGACCTTACCTGGTGCCCTAACAGAAAACTTGGTGCTCTAAATAACTCTTTGTTTCGCCTTATTGTAACATTCGTCTACTGCAGTCACACATGAGGCTTAAGAAAAATAGGCCCTATAACTATTGGCTCAAGAGTCAGGGACACTATCTCTTGTGTTTTTCCACCTCAAATCAGTCGGAGCCAATTCGGTTCGTTTGTGACATGAGACTACGACTCGTTACAGCTTAAAGGCTACTACCAAAATATCCCCCCACTCTAGAATTAAGAACGTCCTCATATTTAGGTCTCTAGATACCCAAAATACATGAACGCCGTTAAAAACCGGGTTGGAACAATCCGTTAAGTTACTTTTTATTAGACAGTGGAACTTTGATCCATTTCAGATGGATCAACCTAAAACTCGCCTCAACTCAACATAACAATTATAAAACACACTCTAGAAATTTAAATTTGTACTCACATCGTAGCACGCTCAAGAACTGGGAGTAATCAAGTCGGTAATCAACTCGAGAATCAAATAATGTAATTAAAATGAGTTTAATGTTTGTCAGTTTTAACAACAAGAACAAGTTCGTACTCAAGACTATAATTTCTCGTGAACCATTGGGACACTCAAGCTGTCCACCTTTCCACCGAAGGTTCACTCTAGTCCAGTTTAGAATAGTACTCCAGTCAAGTCACAATAATCCAGTTCGTGGGAATACTCTTGTCTCTGTTTCGAATGGGACAGCTCTACTCTAGGTTATTGCTGTGACGGAAATTGCGAATAGCAATTTCCTACCGATTTTTCTTGCAACTTTCCCGCGATTGTCACTCGATTGTTCTGACTTCTCTCTTTTGACTTTCAGTTATCGCGAGAAAATCGTGCATGACATGCTCCATTCGAATTTTTGAAAAACTTAATTTCACCCCAAAATCAAGTGCTCTTGCTTTTCTCAAGGTCAAACTTCCAAATATGACCGACTGGCACATACTCCCCGGACTCAAGATCGATGTCCTCATCGCGTGCTGTCTTCTGCCAGTGAGTCCCCGAAAACCGAGTGTTTCTCAAGGTACAGTGCCAGTGGTCATTTACAGAAGTTTGCAGCAGACTTAAGCTTATCTACACCCCAAAATTCACGGCCATGTAAAATTTTCACACTATCGCTAAACAGCAATCAAAATCTGCACACACCTGCACCTATGAATTCTCGCTTTTCAAGCCAATTATTTAAAATTTCTTTTGTCCCATTCAATTAGGAAATTGTCATGCAGCATTTTCGTTTATATAATAGATATAGCATATTAATAACAATATCTTGTTTTGTTAAAATTTCTTTTTCGTGAACCCAGGTTTCACCCGGATCCACACTCAAGCCCCCTTTCCCTCTCAAGACTCAAGATCCATTCGAACCATCCACTCACCTCGCACTCTTCGCCTTGGAGGTGCTGCACCCTGAAGTACTAGATACGGCAAACTGTCTCAACAGTTCTTCTTCATCATCGGAGCTAATCACGATTTCCTCCCAAGCCTTCAGCTGTTCATAGGATCGCATCCATTCTCTTTGCTCCTGGAACCTCTTTGCCTGGTTGGGTAGTGCCTTCACCCTAGATTCCCGGTTCAAACAAAAGGAGTTGTGCAGGCTCAAGCTCACGTTCTTTGCCAGGTCCTCCTCTAGTATCGATTCCCTCGCTTTGGTATTGTCTCTAGACATTTTACCCACTCTCTTCCATCCTGTTGTGATCGCATTTCGATGGGTTAACAGGGGTCTCTTGAAAGCTTCTGGCCCAATCTCGGCCTGGAACTGTCGATACTCCTTTTGATGCTTTCTCATGTGATCTTTCGTTGTCATGTACAACCAAGACGTCAGTGTCGCCCGAAACCATGGAAAGTACCTCAAACGACTCCATATGTGTCTGACTTCCGTCGGTATGGCGAATACTTTGCACGCAGTCTCAAACAACTCGAGTCTCCTGCTGTAGTCTATCGCGTATATTGACTCAGCCGTTGGCGTCGTTGCTTCCCGATACTTCGTCACATTCTCTTCTATCCATCTCAGAGCCAACATCGTACTCACTACTAAGAGCGTCACCTTCTGCCGGTGATCCGGTAGTCCGATCGAGCGAATTTCTTCCATATCCCACACCAGGCAAAGGTTCTTGTGATCTGGATACCACACCGTTTGTGCCAAACAGTGGCATGGGCATTCTCCATGGGTAATCTCAATGCTCCTGAGGTTACGCTCCCCCGAGGCTTCCAAGAGAGGCTCAAGCTCCATCATTTTCTCATGCATCGTGTCATTATCTTCCATGTTTGGAGCACCTCCCACAGGCTTTCCGATCACGTTTTGTCTCTCGTGATCGCTGGTATTCTCACTCTCCAACTTCAAAAGTTCTTCTCCCCAGATTTCACTCAAGTCATCTCTCAATTCTTTTGGTACTATACCTCTGATTTTTCTCAACAACTTGTGCGAGTGATGCGATATCCGAGCCAACCTCACGCACTTGGGCACTGAGAAGGCCTTGTCTACCAATATTCTCTGGCTGGATGCTTCCACCATCGCCATGTGCAGTGGGTAGTGGCTTCCGCACAAATTGGCCATCATTGACCCTATCAGGGATTTTGCGTTCAATGGCAGGCCATAAGCTTCGCTCATGGGAAACCCCATTTCTGCCTCGAGACCAACCTTCCAGCTCCGGATATGCTTTTGAGTCACCTGCAACACTCCCGGCCATGATTCCACGCTCAACGCCGTCACTAAATGGTGTTCAGACTCTAGTCTTTCCAGTGACTGCAGACTACACATTCTCGAGAAGATACAACTTGTGACCCCAACATCGTTTCCTTAGGGTTGAGCCATGTTTGCAATTTCATTACGTAAATTTTGGTAATCACGAGAAAACGAAAATTTTCTTCCGTCTGAGAATAAGATTCCAATTCTTTCCAAAGATTTGCTGCAACTGTCAATTAAATATTCAAGACCTGAACATATGATCAAGATGAAACTTTTGAACAATATTGAACCTTATAAACTAAATTGTGAAATACAAAACACAAATTAATAACACGAACTTTCTTTCTTTTGAAATATTAAACTTACATGCATTGAGCCCAGCAGCATTGTTTGAACTTTGACAACACACGAAGATAAGCAACGGTTTTACCATTTAACCCTAAAAAGAAGGCAAGGAAACATAATATTTGGATAGCATTGTGTTGATTGCAAAAAAAATAACTTAACAAAAAAACTAAGATTTTAATTGCATATTGATAGTTAAAAACATGAAGCGAGTGCAAATTTTATGGAAAAGTATTTATTGACAAAAAAACTATGTTAATTTTCAATACGGATTTGTAAAAAGAAAATCAAGCACACTTCAAATGGTTATCTATCTTTAAAAAATTGACACAATCAACAATGGAAACATGTAGAAACTATTTATACGGATTACGAATATACCTTCGAATTACATCAGGTCTTGAAGACATGATATATTGTGCCAGTCGGTCATATCTGGAAGTTTGGCCTTGTTTGGGCTTAATTGTTGTGATAAACTTATTGAATAGTTTCATGTGATATGATACACTCATAATGGTACGCTTGTAAGAAGGCCCGGTACGGGATTTTAGAGACAAGCTCGTCAAGCACCAATACTCCACCTCTACCCGGGCATCCCCGCCGGAACCTCCACCCGTCAAAAACCAGGTTGTAATCGCTTTCATTTCTTTTTTGTTATTAGTTTTTTTAAAATCCAGTTCTCTACAATCC